AATTTACATACCCAGCAACTCCTTCATTGTCCTATCAGCAGGCTTGGGATTGTACCGTTGACCAATCTGTGCTTACCTGACTGTGTTATTGGGCTGTTTGGATCACAAGAGTAGTTGAACAAAGTTAGGAATTCCAAATTTGTATTTCAACAGTGTTTTAAGTGGTCTGCCTGGCATTCTATAAACAAGCTGGTATGGTTTTAGTTGTATTGAATAAGGCAAATACTTTAAAAACTTAAACTGTATCACATATTATCTGACAAACATATACTGTAGGAATATCATAACAAATATATTTCCCTTCCTGAGCAAATTGGTAATTTTTCTATTGTAATATATATTTTTATTATATTTTTATTTATTTATCTACATACATATTTCTTTTTGTAGTTCCTCTTTGAAACCTATGAAAATATTGATGTATCCAAATGATAGTCAGTGACGTGAGCAGACATTTTGTATTATAATCACTTCTACTCTAATCACTTCAGAATTGGTGGTTGTGCACTACCTACGAAAGAGTAATTTTCACATTTCCGTTATGTGCCTATTGATTTGGAAATGACTTTGTCATTACTTATGTTAGAACAGGAGAGTATTGTACACAGGTTTCTTTTGATTTTGTTTTTTTAGCAAATGTTTCATTTGATGGTATTGTTTCGCAAGGATTGTTTTATTTTCTGTGTGTTTAAAAGGAGAAAAAAAAGGAGAAAATGAGACTTTATTAAAGCCGAAGTCCAGGCAAAAAGCTAAATACACAGATAAAACACGTATGAGGGAGCAATTTTACCTGTCAATGGATTTGTAGTTATGTCTACTCGATCCTGTAGTTTACACAGCTCTGCAATACAGCAAAGTCTTCTCCGGCAAGGCAGCAAACCTGATTGCTTCAGAGTTTTTTGATAGAGTGGAGAAGGTTCAGAATCTCTGTCAAGTTTTTATTGATGGCATTAGGGTGATTCACGCCTCTATTTGTACTGGTGACCATTGTCCTTGAAACATAAATGTGAAATCCAATATTTTAGTGTTGCCCCCAGAACAAGATTTAAGGGAAAATCTCTCAATGGGACAACTGTTCTACAAACACTTTAGGAAATTCTTTTCCAACTTCTAGTTGCATCTCTGAGTCAGGAAGTGAAGGAGATTTGTCTCAATGGTACACAGGCAGCAAACAAAAACTGGCAGCAGTTTTACCCTTCCCTACTCAATCAAAAAGGAAAAAAACTTTTTCACTATACGTACACTTATAGTAATGCTAATGACTCCCTCCCCAGCCTGAGACCGGACAGTGAAAGGAATAGACAGTGAAAGGAATAGATTGATGAGCTCACTCTCTGGCATTCTTCTCTCTCCACCTATCAGCATAAACCTTGTTAGCACATGAGCATTGCAGCACAACTGATTGGATCCTTGTGCTGCTTCTTTTTCTCCAAGTCTCTACTGTACATTGAATTGCAAGAGGCTGATACCAAGTCAAATTCAGGTACTTACACTACTTGCATTAAAAGGAAAAAAAATAACTTGATGTATTAATGAATTCCTTGCTGCATTGGCTTGTGCTTTTTATAACTGCCTGGAGTTTAGCTTTAAATAAAGGTTAATAAGGTTAATAAGATTTATGAAAACCTTTTTTTTCCAAGATGCAGGGTCCTCCAGCGTCTGCTAGAATCAGATCTTAAAGGAGAACTATGGGGTCAGTGTTTTTTCCCATAGTTCTCCTTAGGGTAACGGGAGGACACAAACTAGCGTCCTCCCGTTACCCTAAACTCAGTATACCGCGAGCTACAGCATTGAAAGAGTCACTTTGTTTATAACAATTAACACAATTAGATTGCACAATTTGTTATAACTTATTCTTTTTAGTGTATAGAACCCCATTTGCTGTATAAGATGGGACTTCACATGTCTCCTGGTTATAGTCTGAGTGCTGCCCACTAACTTCTATCTTACAACCGCAGCTTGTTCAGCACATTTGTCATTTTCATTTGAGAACATCTAGCATTGCAAGGGTGAAGGACTCTGAGCTCACCATAAAATCCCTGGGTCTGCTATATTTTTGCATTAACTCAAGACAGTTTGAACAAAAACAGCAAGTAACACAAGTGAGGAAAACGACTCAGCCTGTGTAATGATTTTCACTCACTCTCAGTAATCCTTAAACTTTCAGCTGCTGAGCAGATTGAAGCCTCAGTAATTACAATGCGGTACCTGTTCTGCTCTGATGGGGAGGGGGCACATCTCCTGAGTAACACGTTAATCCACTCTCTGCCTGAGGTCTCTCCCCCTGTGTTTATCCCATTATGCAGAGGAGCGTGGGCCTGTGAGATAAAGCTGGCAAATGCTGCAACACATTGAGGGGAGAGGGAGTGAGGTGGAGGGGAGAGGAGAACACAGGTAAACTGA